GAGCTTGAAGCTGTCTCACTGGAGAGGTGCAGTCTGCCTAATGGCTCCGCCCACACTGGAAGTCTGCTTCCATAGCTCACATCTGATTGACTGGAGGAAGAGCTGGAAATACTGCTGTGGTCGTCTCCAGCAACAGACGTACTGCAGCTGTAAGAGGAGGCTGAAGAGGGAGAGAAAGGTAATTGACTGTAATGAGTAATAAGTGAGACACACACTGAAATAAATCAGTTTGTAAGCACCAAACGCCGCAGATAGTGATGTTTAATCAATAATATATAAATCACACCTTTAACTTGGTGCTGTGGGCAAATTATTACAACTCTTTGAAGTCAGTGTTCAATCATCTGCACATTAATTACAGTACAGGTCATTAACAGGTGCTGCTAATCAGTACGGGCAGGAAAAGGAAATATTTATTTCACAAACCCTCAGCAGGCATGAATCATCTGCTCTGACTATACTGACATTTACATATGTACACACATAATTACGATGAAAATCCCGAAATACCAGCATGAATATAGAGCAGTGATTAAACGACTGTGTCGTCAGGTCAGCGGTCCAAATATACGCGGAGCAACGACGTGAAAGAGATTCATAGTTCACAGAAACATCTGAAGGTCCTCAGACGATGCATTTTATCCTTATGAAACATTATGAAAAGAGTTATGTGTTGGCTGTATAAGCTGAGGTGAACCTTACAAAATAACATACCTGTGCTGCTTGCTAAGCTGCACTGAGACAACATGCTCAGTCTTTTCTCCAGCACTGATGCCTCGAGGTTGATCCGTTCCTCTGCTGAAGCTGGATCGGCACTGGGATCTGCTACGTCAACAAATAATTGAATGAACAGTTAGTTGCAAATCTCATTAAGCCATACTTTACAACACAGAAATCTGAGACATTTTACTATTTAATGAAAAATATTAGCTCGTTGTTTTTGTTTTTGCTTTTAATTCAATGACAGCAACAAATCTAAAAGTCGGGATGGGAGCAGAAACAGGGCGGAAAGGTAGGACACACCTACAAACCTCAATCTACCGACACTGTAAAGAAGACATGGCCAAAATTCGTCCACAACAATGAGATGATTTAACAAGTTCATGAAAATTATACTACTACAAAAGGTGGATCTACTGAATGGTGGGGTGTGCTTTTAGTTTCACATGAAGTTACATTGCAGAATAAAAAGGCCATTGACATTTAACTTTTTTTAAAGCACAATAATAAACTGTTTCATAGTGTTAGAGTGTATTTCAGATGCTGCTGTGATCTTAATACAAAATGTGTAAAATCAAAACTAAAGTTGTGAGACATCTGCTGCATTTATCAGGCTGCCCTTTAAAATATGAGTGTGTGCGCATGTGTGTGTGTGTCCATCTAATTCTTTCAACAGCTTGTAAATTTAACATCTCCCGAGGACGCTATAGGCGCCTCGACAATCTGTTAGAACACTAATTTTGTGTAAAACCTTGCTAATTACACTCCTAATTCCTGCTATATATACATACTGCAGAGACGAGTGAGTGTTAGAGGGGCAGCATGGCTCCCGTTTGTGCGTGCGCACCAGTGTGTGTGCGCGCCAGTGTCCGCACATTGCAGTGGGTCAGTGGGTGCTTGTATAGGTGTCAACAACCTAACACCTGGAACTCTACTCCCTGGACTCCAGCAGCTAATGCTAATATGTAGATGCCAAGTTTCTTCACTACACTATCTGAGGTGTCAGCTAACATTTGCTAACGTAGCTACTTGACTAATTATAGCCAGTTCTCAGCACTGAATGTCACAGTGGGGTTACAGTGGGCCTCATAGCTGATGACGCAGGCTGGTTAATGCTGGAATAAACGTTACAGGGAACTTTGGTTTATTTTCAACCTGGAATTCATTTTTCCCCCCATTTCTGTCAAACTGGTTGACCCAGATATTTAACGCATTCACACAGCTATTTGCCCTGATTTTGTTTGATCTAGTCCTAGTTTGTCTGTACACATGTTTTACTCCAATACCAGTATTTGCACTTGCAATGTTTATCTTTAAATATAGATTTATAGTAAGCTAAAAATAAAATATGTAGCGCATAAAGTTATATAATGAGTGTAGGCTTAAAGTGCAGAATTTGCAGCTTTAGCTGAACAGTACTGCGTTTATCATTTTCATGAGTATAAGGAGCTTGGAAAGGAAAAAGAAACTTAGAGAAGTCCAGTCTCTTTCTTTCCAAGCTCTTTTTTGTACTGCCGTGACCTTGATGACTGAGAACCTACACAGACATTTTCATGAGTCATTCTTATACATAGTTTCCAACTTTTGTCACTGTTCAGAATGTATAGACCTACCTAAACACTATATTTAAAGGTACTAAACAGTACTGGGGCTATGGAGCAATGTTTTTATCACTGGCTCTTCTGTTTTGTTTGTTTGTCTTATGCATGAGTTCAAGAATATTTATTATTCCTGGCTATGATTTCACATAATTCAGCTAATCTAAAGAGGGAATATACAAAGAAATGAAACAACAACAGGCAGAGATTATGAGGAAAAGCATAGATTCAGTATGCAAATGTTAATGCAGATAAAAACCTGTCCTAGTAAGCCGGCAAAGCCCTTGCTGTTAAAGAAGAACAAGTCTTAGGACTGATATTTGTCCTCAGCGGTATAAAACTTCAGTACAGCGCTGTGCTTACTGACATGTGAGATATAAATAATTCTTCAGAGACTTCCAGTATGATGGATGACTGGGGGAAAAATGGGTCCGGGTGAAAAAAGACAGATACTATTTTAAGTTTGATTGCAGAAAAAGTGTAACAATGCTAGCTAATGTGCAATGCTGTGTCAATGTTCATTTCACTACAAACTGTAAAAATTACACGTTGATGCTCAGGTAATGTTTATTCAAACTCTCTATGCAGTTCCTGAAGCAAAAATTACTGTGGAATTAGAAATATATTACAGTAAAGCACAAGTCACACACAAAGGAATGACACCCTTAATTTACAGCATGACTCTTGGGGGCATAAAGCATGTGGTGTTTCTGTTACTGTGGCGCCTGACACAAATGTTAAACATGTGCAGGAAACAGGCGGCAAATCTTTTCATGGAAGTCACAAACCGAGTCAAGTGTCCTTGACTTGTGAAGTTGTGAAGTTGTTCTTCTAATCATGGAAATAATAGCTTCCTAGCTATGCCAGCTTATACTGGCATCGCTTTCGGGCTCATATATAAAATTACACAATTACACAAACAGACTGATTATTTCTGATCCTCTAAAAATGTGGGACTATTAAGGACTAAAGTAAAACACATCACCACCACAACAGCTGTCCACAGTCTTATCACCAAGGCCTGTCCATCTTTTACCTACATTTTTTAACTTGCACACTTTTGTAAACATATTCCTGACAAATTTCACTTGTGTTCTGTTTGCAGTTTCTAAGTGTTTTTACCTGGCAGGTCAGGTTGCAGGCCATGTGGTGCCCTGCTGGGGTTGATGCCCCTGACGATGCAGTCGAATAGAAAACTGATCTGCTCTCCTTCTGAACAGGACAAGAAGAAAACACCAGCCCCTGGACAAGCGAAGAGGAGATAATGTGTATACCATAAAAAGCAGTTTAATAAATAATATAACAGACAGCAGGAGCGAGAAGACTGCTGTAGTAAATTGCTGAAATATTGAGTGAAACATTTTTAAACAAGGCCAAATAATATTCACTGTGGTTCAGACGCCTGCTGTGAAGGCAAAGCTATTTTTTTAAAGGTTACATAAAATGTCTATCAATTCAAGCTCCCACTCTCCGATAAAACCCACACAGAGGTGGATGTCAGTGAAAACAAAAGGAAGGGAAAAATAAGTAAAAATAATAATAATAATGAAGCATCAAAACTTCACGCTACAAACATTTAGGGGGGGAAAAACAGCCATAAATCAAGGCATTACTCAGGGTTTTGGCTAAGAAAGAAAACAAACGAATAAAACTGAGTTTGCTGTTAATATAAAAGCAGCTAAGAATCCCAAACAGAAGATTGTTCACGCAATCTATTGGCATGATAACATCATTCAGTCCTAAATAATGCCACTCAGTCTTTTAAATGTATTTTCAATAGTAGTAATTTTCTTAAAGGAAAAACCCAAATGTCACAAAGAAATTGTGCCCATGAAGCCCTCCTTTAATAAATAAGGAGCGCTGGTACAATATGCTTTCAGATGACCGTGTG